AGGCTGCCCCGCCCCCCCAGAGGCCAGCCTGGGGGCGCCTCACTGTTCTTCCAAGACCAACACTCCCTTCCCCACACGGCATCAGAGACCCTCAGGGAACACACATGCTGGCAGACAGGCTGAGTTACGCCTCATTTAATCGAGCAGTAAAAGTCCATCCAGATGGCCCCGGGACTCTACGAAGTGCAGACACCCCCTTGGCGTGTCCATGCAGGGCGGGCTCCGTCCACAGGCAGGTACGCCTGGACGCCGGGCTCGGTGACTTTGCCACAAGGCAGCGGCATCCGCTGACACCGCGAAGGACGCCTCTCGGTGACACGGACCCGGAACGACCCAGAACCGGCGGCAGCAGCCAGGAGCAGCAGACTCGCCCAGCACGTCTCCTGGAGGCTTGGGCGTTGCTTTCTGCTTTGGGCGCGACACAGGGCAAACCCGTTTTCTGTCCTTTCCGGAGAAGCTTGGGCTCCCTGGAACGTGGAGCTCACTCAAGAGGAAACGAATTCAGCCGAGGACAAAGGCCCGGCAGCTCGCAGCATCCCGCGCTGTGCCCTGCTGGGCCGCTTGTCGGCCGAGCCCTTTGTGGGCAGGGGCGTCCCCGCCACACACAGAAGGTGTCCCGAGAGTGCCGGGGGCAGAACACTTGCGTCACTCCCAGCGGGGTGCCATCCGCCTCCAGTGAGGGGCTGGGTCGTAGGAGACTGCCCGGCCAGCAGGGCGATGCCACGCCCGCCAGTGCCCCGCTCTGCACATTGGTGGCGGGAGCAGCTGCCGACGCGGAGTCTGACTTACAACGCGTGGTCAGGGCGGTGGGCCCCTGGGACTCCGTGGCCAGCTCCTCCCTCCCGGGTGCCTCCGTTTGTTCACTGTGTCCAGGAAGCAGTTTAGGGAAAATCTTTCCAGTTTCTCGACTTATTTTTTGCGACTTTACCATTCGAGATTCAGCCCTACGTAAAAGCATCGCTCTCACAAAGACCTCTGCGTGGAAAAGTCGTCACACTGTCAACGGTTTTAGGGTGGCTTGTCCTGACACTTGAGGACCCAGAGGTCCTGAGGGTGTGTGCCCGCCGTGGCCGAATGTAGCTCGGTCTTGTTCAACTTAGGGGACAGGAGCTACAGGCAACTGCTTCGGTCCTCGGGGCACATTTCCAGGCAGCAGGCGACAGGTGGACCCAGGATTCCAATCGTTATCTGGGGAGACTTGAGCGCCGCAGAGGACAAGGCAGCTTGAGGAAGACAAGGATGTGAGTTTTCAGATGTGGATTTGATGTCTCATGGGGGCGGGTAGGCTTGGAGCAGAAAGGCCATTGTTTTGAAAGATAACAGAGTTCTCCAAAGGCAGCTTTACAGGCTTCCCAGAGTCCAGGCCGGGAAGGGGCTCTGCCTGCCCCACCCGGGGGTGGGGACAGGGTTCCCTCGGCCCCTCCGGCCCCAAACCGGCACCACCCCACCGTGACCCCCACAGCAGCCAGGGTCCCTCCCTCGTGCGGCCGAGGTCTTGGTTCTGAGCGCCTGGGTGCCGCCTCAGCCCC